TGCCAAAAGAGATGAGGTAAATCAGCTATTTAGAAATACTTACCCATATGCACACAGCACTGAGGACAAGTTTACTCACAGCTAGTCCTACACAACCCCAGAAGACAGAGGGCTCTGAATCATCTACATGAGTCACTGGGATGCTGATGTTTGTCCATGACCCATTAATAAACTTAGTGGTGGAGAAATCAACGATAATGGGTGAAGGTGTTGACACACAATCTGGGCAGACAAATAGATCTATTTTATCTCGGCAGAAATTATCTTCAACAAATGAAATAAATAATGCACAAAATGACTGAAAGAATAACAAAGTAAAAAAAAAATATTGTTTGTCTACATTTAAATGAAAAGCCATAATTATTTAGATACTGGAAACTTACCCAAAAAAGTGTTTTGTGTATTTTTGTGTATATATACAGCATTTCACAACCAAAATGATTTTCACTGTTTATTAATAGTGAAATACCTGAGATATTCAGTCTAAACGACTTTTGACAGTTCTTTCCTCCAGCCTTGACTCTAATCAAACACTTGTAGATCCCAGAATCTGAAGGAGCAACTTTCCTCAAGACCAAAGAGGCGTTTTTATCCAGTGACACAGAATCATTGTGCTTATCCGTTTGGATGACATTTTCTGACTTTTTGAGGATTGTCATCGTAGATTTGTCACTGCTGTTATTGTAGAACTTTTAAAAAGAGAGAAAAAGAACATAGTGAGTCCTCTGCTCTTTATTAGAATAGATTTTATGTGATGAATACTAGTTAGTATGTAAAAAACATATTGTGGTACCACAATACACGTTATTGTCTGAAGAAATTGAACACTGTAAAATAAAGTAGGCAACAATCAACTTGGATTTTCAAGTCATTTCAACTAAAAAAATAGTTGAATGAATCTTGTATAATTATATTTTCATGATTTGTAATCACAACATTTTTTCTTTTGTCAAATCAACTTAGATAATTTATGCAGTTCAGATAACATAATATTTTGAGTTTTAGTGATTAAATCAATCTCCTTCATTGTATTAACTCACTTTTCCATTTCAATGAACTTAAAATTTTAAGGCAACCAGGTTACAGTACTTATTTTTTAAGTTAAACCAACAATATTTTGTACAGTGTACACTGTAAAAAAATGTTATCACAACATTTTTTTCTTTGTCAAATCAACTTAAATAATTTATTTAATTCAGATAACTTATTATTTTGAGTTTCTGATGATTAAATCAATCTCCTTCATTGTATTAACTCACTTTTTCCATTTCAATCGACTTAAAAAATTAAGTAGCCTGGTTGCTTTAATTTTAAGTTAAACCAACAATATTTTTTTCAGTGTAAAAACAAAACGTTACAGTTGTTTCTTATTTCGATAAATTAAAACAATGTAAAACATGTTGTCAACTTATTGATATTGGCCTTTTTTTTACGCTGCACACTAATTATTTTTAGGGGCCTATATATAGCCTAGGCCACAATTTTCCCCTTAATCTTTCAGTTGTCTGCAAGCACAGGTAAAATTACAAGTGAAATTAAGAGGAATGGATGCAAAGGAAATGTGTGTCAACATGTTTCCTCCTTAAAGCCACAAAAAGTTCGAAATTTTCCGTTGGTTTTCTATGTAAATGCAAGACAAGAAGATGAGCTTTACAGACACATGACGATTTGATGAAGAACATTTTGTTAGAAAAGCTTGTTTTAATAATTTTTTCTTCACGTTGTTCCGAGGCTCATATCACGTGTGAGCAAAATTAGACAAAAGGTCAACTATAAAACCAATTAGTCCTATAGCGTTTTGTTTCACGCAGTCAGACAAGTAAACATGCGGTCAGACAAGCAGTCAGACAAGTAAACATGTTCATCAAATAAGATAAGTTTAATAAAGTATGCTGTGGTAAATAACATATTTATATGGACATGACTCACCTTGTACCACGTAACAGAGGTGTAGTTCTTACAGTTTTGAAGGGCACTACAAGGCAAAATTATATCAACTCTGCAATCTGCTGTGACGAAGGTGGGTTCATCGTTGCCGTGTCCGATTACTATACTAAGGCCCAACGCTAGAACAGACATTACAGGGGAAAATCAAGAGCACAAAGAGCCTTACGTAGCTAAACTTTGCTTGCTTATTTTTTTGTCAAAGCCTATTGTACTTAGCCTAATACACACGTGTTACATGCTGGAGTTGCGTAAAATGCGTATTGCGTAAAATAATTGTTGCCATTTATTTTTAGCTTGCAACAAGTATTAGAATTTTAAGGGCCTTTAAAAATGAAAAAAAAAGCTGTGAGTAAAATACCGAGTTGCCAAATAGAAAGCAATATCTCACTCACCCAACACTATCAAGCGAATCATCATGTTATGGTGAAATGCGTGATGCTCGCTGTTCCCCTGATGTTGCCTCCTGCTTCCCACAGTTCTGAAGAATCACTTTTTCTGAGCAACTCTGAAAAAAAATGGTGTGGGTTTCGCAATGCTGTCTTGCCGTTTTGTCAAGATCAGGATCAACTTAACTGCTTTGTTTTATTGCAAAGTATGTAACTCAAATCATTAAAAAACACATGTAAATAGTTTTGACATCAGATTTAAAAAAAGGTAGGGCCTAGTATTAAAGCTGAACATTTCCTTATATACATTTCCCTTATATAGCATTGGCTACTACCAACAGTAAACAAAGGTGAACAACATTTTGTAGTTGTGTAAACGATTGATTTTCAAGGAATTCAGATTTACAGTTTTATGAAATCAAATGGTTTACTCGTCTTCCTAAAGTAACACTGTCCTTCAGCGACACCAGTCGGTAAAGAAAGTGAAAGTGTAGCATATTTTGCCTGCTATGGGCGTATAGCGACGCTGAGGGAGATGCTATGAAAATGCTGTGATTGGCTTGTTTCCCGCCTGACGAAGTGAAATTTGAAATTATGAATTTGAAATTTGAAAGTGAATTTGAAATTATGTATCGAGAGTATTTGGCTCAGTAAAATTAGAGCAGTATCATCATTACACTTGCTGTGTTTATTAAGAATGATCACAGAAGGTGACTATTAATAATAATAGCTTAAATCACTTAGTAACAAATAAAAACAAGCACAAATGCTACTTCATTGTTATGTTTACATTGCTTGCTTTAACACATTATGCTACATTTGCAGTATTCCTTTTTATTAATAAACACGGTGTTATTACTGTACAAAAAACTAACATATTTAGTTTATTGTTGATATAAGATGCTATGCCATTAAACCAGAAACTGTTTTAATGCAAAAATTAATTTACATGGTTAACATGGTTTTTAAATTGCAAAACACAGTTAGGCCACTTATATGCTTTCATGAGTTTCCACAAGTTTTTTCATCTTATTATTTTTCTTTATCATTTTGAGGTTCAGAACCATGATAACAGCACAAGCCATCAGACTCAGCACACATCCGACTATGATGAATTGATGATTGGCAGACGGTGTGTCCTTCTTACTGCTTACCGCTTGCACTTGAGGCTTTATGCAGTCTAAGCACAAAAACAAACACATATAAAACTTTCAAACCACATATAGGCTACCATTTTAGGGGAACTGTGGAAATGAAACAAATGCATCATGGTAGGCATACTTCTCCTATAATACTTCTCCTAAAACTCAAGAAGATATTTTGAAGAATGTTAGTAGACAGTTGCCGGTAGCCATTGACTTCCAAATGAAAACAAACAAAACAATGTGGTCCCATCAACTGTCTGGTTACCAACATTATTCAAAACATCTTGTGCTTAGCAGAAGAAAGAAACTCATACAGGTTTGGAACAACTTGAGAGTGGGTAAATTATGACAGAATTTTCCGTTTTGGGTGAACTATCCTTTTAAGATTACTGTCTTTATGTCACCATGAACTCAAAATTTACCATTCCTTAATGGAATATTGCAATATGCTATTTATGATTTATCCATGCACATCACTATATATATATATATATATAGTTATGTAGTTTCACTCCCCTTCTCACCTGCTGAATAATACTCTGTATTTCCTTCCTGTATGTAATGACCCAGTGGGGGCCACAAGGTGCATCTGTAAACACCACAGTCTTCTTCAGCAGGACCAGGGACCAGGAGAGAGTTGTCCTCCCCCACCTCATAGGAACGATGTGCAAACTTAAAGAGTGTTGTGATGTTTTTTATCAGATCCTTCAAAACAAGTCCAGCCAACACATCAGAACCCTCTTCAACCTGTAAAATATGTTTACTTTTATAACACACTGCACCAGGAAATCCAAGTATAGCCTAATCCACTGTATCCAAGGAAATAAACTAAAACAATTATTATTGACAGGCTGATTTGCAGGTTGCAGCTACTGTTAACAACTTTTAGAAATACTAGAAAAAAGACAGTCAGACACAAACCTTGTACCAGGTGAGTCTCCTGTACTTTACACCTTGTTCAATGTTAGCCTGGCATGATATTTTAACCCAGCGTTGCTCCTCATAAGACATTGAGAAGTAAACCATATAGACTGAAGGACAGAAATTATAACATCATTTAATGTATTTATTAGATGCTGCAATGTTAAAACACACTCAAACGAGATAATTCTGCAGCGTTTTTGTTTTGTGTTGTTTGTTTGGAGACGCGAACGCGGATACTTTCACTTTAGTATGGTTCTAACTGTTACGTTTTACTTTCTTGCAATCATGCAATACATGAAGGTGTGCATGAAAGAATAAATGCATATTCTACTTACACGTTAAAAAGTAGATGTGCAGCATGGTTGTGTTTCTATAAGCTTTCTCCTTTCTGCAACCGCAAACTGCATTTGGGGCTAGCCTATTTTCCCGGAAATGACGAGTGCGATCTTATCGGTCGATTCGAAAAACAACAACAAACACAATAGTTCATTATAGCATCTACTAATTTTATTGTTTGCGCAATTTAATACAGTTATAATACAGTATTTGTAAAGTGTTGCCCGGTAGGCTATATTTTGTGAATGAACACCTCTTTTGGTATTAATCATGCATTGTAACGATAAACACACAGACACAGACACAGACACACACACGCACACGCACACACACACACACACACACACACACAGACACACATAAATAGGTCTACAAACAGGATGTTAAAAATGGGGATAACTGTAACACATTTTTTTTTTAATTAACCACAACTTGGACTGATAGGCTTGGACTAATAGGCTGGGTTTCTTTCTTTCATTTTCATTTCTCTCTGCGCCTCAGTATCAGTATTTTCACTACAAGGCGTGAAACTTAAAATCTGGTACTAAGACTTGACAAAGAATTCCTGTGAAAGTAGGCTATCAGAATTAGATTAGAAATTAATTGAAAAGTTTTCTCACATCATTCAGATAAATTCATTTAACTGAATTCAAACTATTTTAAGCCAACATGTTAAATATAAAACTGTTCATAACATGATGGCTATATGAATATCTGTACAAATATTTAGCCTATTGCCTACTTATTTATCCATATATATTTTTTATGATTTATTCATATATAAGAATACATATTAACTCTAGAAATCCCTAAAGTACTTAATTCTGCTACTGACAGCAAAATATTTACAGAGGATGTGCAATTTAAAAATGTGGGGGAAAATAACAACAGTGTGCATTTTGGCGATCCCTCCTCCCCTTGGAATAATCCGTTCTCTAAAAAATAATTAAGAATAGCCAAACCACGCAGAAATTAAACAAACACCATCAATCCAACCTAATTGTGCCAACAACCTTGTAAACGACAGGCTTGGACTGTTTTAGTGGATGCGTAAAACTAAATGGATCCCATCAGCTTTTTTGTGAATCTCAGTCTTTCCAGCTTCATGGCCTTGTTCCCGTTTTGCTTCCCCTTACTTCCTGTTTTCTTCTTGCTGTGCTAAATATGGCTCGATCACACACCTGTGAAAGGAAATTTTATATCAGACAGGCTTCAGAAACACACAAAACACTGACAAAACTGTGAAAAAAACCCTGAAAAACTCTCCCACACAGCCAACACTTAGAAAATAGCCATTTGGTTTATGTCATTTAACCTGTTAAGCTACAACCCCATTTTTGAAAAATCCAAGGAAATGGTAGCCTGGCTAATGCCAGACCACGTATCATTGAGAATAAAACGTGGTCTGGAAACCACATGTTCATTTTCTCGTATTTGAGGTGTAGTTTACGAATGCCCAGAGCCATATTATTAGGTGCTACGAATGTCTATCAAATGCGCCTGTGCTCCCTCCCCGACCCGTTCTGTGGTTGGTTCCCTATTTCAGGGGAAAATTTGGTTCATACGAATAAAACCGCGGCAAGGCAGAGGGGAAAACCAGGCTAAACAAATGGCATACCCAAACTGAAACAGATACAGTTCATGAACCCTTGTACTTAAAGCACAAATATGATCTCATTTGAAAGCTGACACCTGGTAGTTTATTGTAAATGTATAATTAGTCATAATGAAAATGACGCTCATAATTTAGTAAATACATATTAAAGGTCATTAAAGGACTCATTTTTGAATTACATAACTTCTGGCACAAATTAAGACATAACTGTCACTATAAATTTTTTCAGAATACAATAGACAAATACTGAAACTTCAGTCATATATCTTTTTAATGAGGTAGTTTGTCAAGATAATAACATTAAATATGATAGTAAATTTGTACTATTTCACTACCAAAACAATCAGGTGAAATATAATAAAATAATTGAAAATCTGAAGTGCACACTGTCTACAAAGTTATCTTTTTCCTATAACACTGTCACAGGGTTCTGCAGAAAGAAAGAAAGAAAACATTATTTCCTGTGATAGGGGTGGGTGTATGTAAGCGAGGGGGATACGTTTGATGCAAGGGGAGCTGACTTAAAGGCCTCGCCATCTCTGTTTCCTGTTGTGCAACAGTTTCTGAAGAAGTTGCAAAAAATAAAAGTATAAAAAATATCTGCAGCAGGTCTGCGAGCTTTATAAAGTGTGGCTATATATCTCAAAATGTGACTTCCTTGTACACTACTGTTCAAAAGATTGGGGATTGGGATTGGAGATTGGATATTTTTGAAAGAAGTTACCCATACTCAACAAATCTGCATTTATTAGATTAAAATACAATAAAACAGTAATATTGTAAAAAAAAAAAAAAAAAAAAAAAAAAAAAAACTATTTTAAAAGATTTTCTATTTTAAAAGGATACTCCACTTTTTTGGGAAATAGGCTTATTTTACAACTCGATTTTCTGATATTTAGAAGAATATCAGTAACCAGACAGTTTCTGGACCCATTGACTTACATAGGAAAAAAATATATGGAAGTTACTGTCTGGTTACTGATATTCTTCTAAATACCAGAAAATTTTCTGAATGGATTCGAAAATGGTAAAACCCAACTGTAACTGTAGTTGGGGAGTTGTAAAATGAGCCTATTTCCCCAAAAAGGTGGAGTATCCCTTTAAAAGCAAAGCTTTTCAGCATCATAACTCCAGTCTTCAGTGTCACATGATCCTTCAAAAAAAATGCTGCTTAATGTTTTGCTAGAAACTGTGCTAATTCTGTGATGAATAGAAAGTTCAAAGAACAGCATTTGTTTGAATTTTTTTTAATTTGTCCTTTTTAAATAAAAGCATTAATTTCTTCAACAACAAATGAATGACCCAAACCCCAAGTTCAAAAATGATCTGATATTATCACGTGGGCAAGCATTGATTTAATTCTAGTTGTTTGCATGTGTTGCGCAGTGCTGTTTGTGCATTTCCTTAAAATCATTGTGGGGAATGTGAAATAAAGGTTATTTGTTTCACCAATTGGAACTGCTATTACTCACCCCCACAGTTACAATGCAAAGTATGATTTTGGCCATGCTGAAGAGAAAAAGGCAGAGCACAGCCCAGTGAACAGTTGTATCCTCTGTATCAGGAAAAGAATCATCAGGGATCATGGTGGAGGGATACACTGTGCTCACATCCAAACATTCTGAAAATCAAGAGAAACATTTATTAATACTTAGCTTTCTGAGATCTCGCATGCAAATACAAACTTAATAAGGTTTGGTTTTGGTGACACCTATATAACGAATATCAATAGAAAATCAAATAGATTAGAAAACGAAGATTGAACAGGGTTCTAAATTACCTGAGATATTCAGTCTAATAAAAGAATCATCATTTCGACCCCCAACCTCTGCAGCCAGGTAGCATTTATATTCTCCCGAGTCTGAAGGCTGCACGTTATGTAACTTCAAGGCCGCTTTCTCTCCCAGAGAAACAGAAGTTAAGTTATAAAAAGTTGAATCCGATCCATTTTTTCTCTTGATGATAGGAACAGGCTTACTCTATAAAGAAACACACAGTTGTGTTAAGGGATTTTGTTGTGGTGTTTTCTGGTTGGTTGGGCAGACCAACCAGGTCAAAATGTTTCACTTGCCAGATGATATGCCACTGAGATGCAGAGTTTCTTCTCATCGAAGGACATGCTGTTTGCTGGCTAACTATTCTTTTTAACTTAAAAAAAAAAATCATTTAAATAAAACAAACTGACAAACACAAGCATTTCAATAATGCAAAGCAAATGCAGCCATCAAGGTAACTCACCTCTATTTTGTACCATATGACATAACGGTATGTTGTTGTTCGGTCAGTAGCTTTACAAGGTAGTCTGATGACATCGTTACAGTTTCCCTCAATGAAGTCCACGCTTTCTGATATCCCACAGTGCAATGCTGCCATAGCAAACAACAGCAATGCTGTAAAGAAGGACCAATACATAACATCAAACTAGATGTTAGCATTTCTCAAGATACTTACAATTCGCATCAGCAAAAAAAAAAGTTCAATTTGGAAGTACTGGGGTCCCTGTTTGGATATACACTACCATTCAAAAGATTGGGGATGGTAAGACTTCTAATTGTTTTTGAAAGAAGAGTCTTAAAGGATTAGATCACTTTTAAGTTTAACTTAAGTTAAACGATTCCAGTCATTTAAAAAAATAACAAAGTTTAAGTTTTATAAGCTTAAATGCTCGCCTTGCTCTGTTCTGTGTGACTCTCTTGTTCGAACTCGTTCATCAAAACGAACAAATCTTTTTCCGTGTCAATTTGTTCATTTCGTTCGTTGAATGAACCAAATGACTCGAAAAAAGATTCGTTCATTTTGATGAGAGTCATGAACGCGCATCACAGAAGGCAACCATTTGAGCTTATAAAACTTAAACTTTGTTTTGTTTTGTTTTTAAATGACGAATCTTTTCACTTGATAAGACCCTTATTCATTTTCTGGAATCGTTTAAAGCCCTTTGAACAGTTTGCAGTTTGCACTGAAACTGTCTTTTGGACTTTGAACCGTTTGGTGGCCAGTAAAGTGCATTATATGGAGAAAAATCCTGGAATGTTTTCATCAAAAACCTTCATTTCTTTTCGATTGAAGAAAGAAAGACATGCTCATCTTGGATGACATGGGGTGAGTAAATTATCAGCAAAAGGTTTTTTTTTGGCATATTTAGAAGTAATTTAAAATTAAGGTTAGGGTTTTGGATTAGGGTTAGCTAACCTTAGCTCCAGTGATTGTAAAGGGCTGTGATTGTGATTGATAGCTCCAGTGATTGTATTTGTTCACTTTCTAGGCCTATTTATTTCAGGCACAGTTTGAATAACATTATTTCCATCCTAAGGAAAGTACAATGTGAAGTTGACGTTGAGCTACTGGTTTGATTTACTGACACAAACAAAGAACATCTGACTGTACATGAATCATTGCACATCAGAATTCACAGGTCACAAATCAGGCATTGGAATTAACACAGTTTCTTACATGTTGTCGCATTACTGTTGAGTCCATATCCAAAAAGTCTGTTTGCAAATTTACTAAATAATTCACAGTGAAATGTACAAAATACAAATAAATAATGCTCAATTGAGATATTCACATCTTGCCGCTCCCGAAGCCATCTTTATTGCTTGCTAGCTCTAGTAACCCAGCATTAGCATCTCTCTGCTACCTACTACATTGCATGCGCAATCCAGTGGGCAGTGCTAAACAGGCAGTGATATACAGTAGAAGAAGGCGTTGACCTTCTGCTGCAGAGGCGGTGTTTATCCACACTTTTACGTATAAAGTGACACATTCCACAACCTGTCCTTTTTGCAGATTGGCTTCAATATAAGCTGTTTTTAGACTAATGAGTAAGTTTTGAGTTCTGAAACTTGTAGGATGTGTTATTGTACAATGATCTCTTATATGTGATTTCTCAGTTCATGAACACTTTAAATTACTATGTCAAACTGAACTGAAAGCTTAGTTGAGTGGGAGATCAGAATGTTCCAATTTTGAGACTCTAGAGTATGATTATTGTTGAAACAAGGCTCAATAACTTGTTGCTTGTTTGTTACAATAGCCTAACTTAAAGAAAATTGTCTGTAAATCCTCTACACCTTCTTCACTATCTCTGTGTAATTCCATGGTTTTTCCTGCATTATAATTTTTTTACACATTTTTATCCCGCCAAAGCCGTATTAGATCAGTTATTGCGTGAGGTAGATGACTGTCTGCTACACTTGTGACAGCGTGAATGTTGAATGGATAGTTCACCCAAAAATGAAAATTACCCCATGATTTACTCACCCTCAAGCCATCCGTGTATATTACTTTCTTCTTTCAGACGAATAGAATCGGAGTTAAATTAAAAAATGCCCTGGCTCTTCCAAGCTTTATAATGGTAGTGAATGGAGGATATGATTTTGAAGGCCAAAAAAGTGCATCCATCTATCAAGTACTCCACATGGCTCCGGGGGGGGGGGATATCCCATTCCGTCGATTTACTGCGAAAAAGTGAACTTGATGCATGATGCATTGACAAACGCGGAAGTGCAGAGGACAAAGAAAAACAAATAAATGGTCACAGATAAGAAGTCTAAAATGATAATTTTTATAAGATAAATGTCAGAGGAGCTTGAGTTGGTTGCCCAGCCCTGTTTGTTTGAACGACAAAAGGCATCAAAGCTTACGCTACTCCTACATCCTACGCCATACAGCGCGTCAAGTAGCCTATTCATTTTTGGCGCATGTCGACTTGCGTAGACTGTCTGCCGGAAGCTAGTAAGTTGATAAAGTTATAAATATGGATATTTTTCTTACACAAATGCTTCGCTTCATTTCAGAAGGCCATTATTAACCCCATGGACCCAGATGGATTACATTTATCATGGATGGATGCCCTTTTTTGGGCTTCCTTCACTGCCATTATAAAGCTTGAAAGAGCCAGGACATTTTTTTTATAAATAACTGTATAACTGTCTTTTAGATTGTTTTCATCTAAAAGAAAAAAATCATACATGTAGGAAGGCTTGAGGATGTTAAATCATGGGGTAATTTTCATTTTTGGGTGAACTATCCCTTTAACTTAGAGAGCGAGAACGAGCAGACGAAAGTTTTATTTGTTAACATTAGTTAATCCACTGTGAAGTAACATGAACAAATAATGAACAGCTGTATTTTTATTAACTAACATTAACAAAGATTAATAAATACAGTAGCAAATGTATTGCTCATGGTTAGTTCATGTTAGTTAGCAAATGACTGACATGTAAAGCAATGGTCATTTGAAAAAAGCACAAAGCAAGTTAGATAGCCGGGTTTGTTTGGGGTTTTTTTCGTTTATTTTAACTAAAATTAGACTATTAGTTAAAATAATTCAAATTAATTCTACTTTTTAAGTAGACGTTTCTTACAAATCTATGCAATCCAGGGCAAGAAAGGATGATAGTCTTCCAGCCAACTCCGAAGACCATTTCTGACCCAGGAAAAACCCTGAATAGCCTACTATAATTATTATTAGGCTATTTTTTATTTATTTTTATTTTTTTTACTTAACTTATAAACCTCAACTCCATTTCCTAAACAGAAAAGAGAACGGTAAATGACCGGAGTAAAGATAGTTTGCGGTTTGATTTTCAGATTTCGTTTCGCTGTGGTCCCGCAGTGCCGGAGTTCTGACAATTCATGCATCGAGATTTGCTACTTACCGGTTATGCGCATGTGCAGACTCACAGTTTTTTTTTTTTTTTTTTACAAAAGGTACATTTTCCTGTTATAATGTATAATTTCCCTTTAAAAATGCTATGAATATTTGTACGTTCAGCCAGCTGAAAAGGAATAACTGAAAGTTTCAGTTACTATGAGGAAAGGTGTTTGACAAGTCAAAGACAATTTTTTATGATAAGTTTTACTTTTCACAACGTTTTAAAAATAAAAACAGTAGTCTACAGTATACAGTAGCTACTCATAACTTAAAATTGTATTATAATTGTATTTCATACGACTTTAATCGGCAAGCTGTGATCAATTCGCGCTACGGTAGCATTTTTTTGACAAGGCAGCAAAAATCGGCAGAACACCGGTCAATAAATGAGTGGAAATCTCTTCTGTGTGGCTCTAAGTCAGGCATCTTGTTTACAGCGTAAATAAGCATCCATGAAGCACTTTAAATCACCACACACATACATTTCTGTTGAATATTATGCATAAATAATATGGTATATTGTATTATTATTATTTTTTTTTAAAGTTATGTTTCTAAATTGGTTAGTGAAAAAGCTTCGTGAGCTACAGCAAAAAATTATGAAATAATGTCTGATTTTGACTTACCTGAAATATTTTGATTTCCCATTCTTTACCGTGGGTAAAATGTAGCCATCAGTGAAGATGGGGAAACAGTTGTTTCTTATGAATCCATCTACAAACAGAAACAAATATGTCATTAGTCTGAAACGATTTGGACTTTCTGCTTGAACCGTAAAAAATGAAACTATCCTGTCGTCTCGTGTATGCCTCAATTCTGCCCTCTAGTGCTGCTACTGTGACACGATGACAAAAAAAAAAAGATTTTACGTTAAAGGGATAGTTCACTTTGAAATTAATTTTTGATATGTTTTAGCTTACCTCAATGGCAACCAAGATGTAGGTGTCTTTGTTTCCACAGTATTTTCAATTTTGATATTTTTCGGTCAAACTGTTGTTGTCTGTCAGTCATATAATGCAGGTTTAGGGGGTCCACGGGTTCACCACAAAGAGCATGCACAAAAAAGTCCAAATTAAACATGATTTAATGACTCGTAAATGTAAGTAGGCTACACATTGATGGCCTAAGACAGAAATGAGCGATTTGTGTGAGAAGTGTAACCACAGCCATGTCCAACTCTGTGCATGCTCTTTGAGATGAAGGCAGGGTGGAATCCCTAAACATGTATTATATGACTGATAGACAATGTTCAACAGTGTGACTGAAAAATATCAAAATTGAAAATACTGCGGAAACAAAGACCTACATCTTGGATGCCCTTGAGGTAGGCTAAGCTAAAACATATCAAAATTATTTTCAAAGTGAGCTATCCCTTTAAACGCAATATAAAAGAAAAAGATAATTGACTTAACCAAATATTTGACTTTCATGCTGTGCAAATTTAGCCATTTCATCACTGACTTAATCATATATCTTTTTCTGTTAAGTTCATAATGCTTTTCTGTACTAAAACACGTTTATACTTTATTTACTTGTAATAAAGATGTATAGAAAAACAGTATACCTTCTCTGTCATTATGTAAGATGTATAGAAAACTGAATTGATCCCACCATGGCAGATTTGACATGTTTGTCGAATCAAATTCTGTTACGTAGCCTAAATGTGAAGATAATGGAAAGACTGACAGTTTAGAAACTGCCTCGTAGATAAAGAGCTCAGCAAAGTGGAAAAAAATTAGTGTCTTTCAGAGCATATTTTCACAGTTTCATGCTTCATTTGGAAAAAACAACTTTAAATTGGGTTCAGTCGGTGGTGCACTTTGCACAATGGAACATTACAGTCATCATTATGTTGTTGACTAATTTTGAAAGTATTTGAATGTATTATTTAATAAAGACATTCAGCTATTACAAGTTTGATCATGCAGACTGACATTAGCTAGCCACCTGCTCCTGTGGAAGTTATAACTTCTTCTCCTGTATCTCTCTCAGTTTCTCTCTCCTGCTCTTTTGAAGTCTTTGTTTTCCTTTGAGTCCCATTTGCAGCCACAAATGGCTGGATCACAGAGCTGTAAAGCTGCTCTTGCCTTGCAATAAATAAGCTGTCTGTGAAAGTGGTTGACGCTGGACTTGCTTTTCCTCAGTCCGGAACTCAGCCAGCCCTCTCCTCTCTTTGGACGCAAGAGACCCTTCTGCCCGTGACTGACCGTTCGACATGCTTTCTCTTCCATCCTGTTGTTCTTCATGTTGGGGATCCCCTATACTTTTCTCCTTTTCCTCCCTCCTTCATACTATCCTTCTCGCCAGCTCCTTTTCTTGCTGACAGGATAGTGAGGGCTCAGGATATTAATAGGAGCCTGTATGAAAGGGAAGAGGAAGACAGCGAGAGAGGGTTGTGATTACGCCATCTGGATTAAACAATGCCTGTGTATACCTCAAGACGGACACAATGAATGAGAGGACAGCAGGGGGAAGTGAAAAAGGAGGAGATCTATACAAAGATTTCTCATATAAATACGAAGTGTGTCTTCTCTAACCCTAAGTTCTGGTCATCTGTTATATAGCATCTACAATTGTGTGTGAATTTACAGTTTATTCTTGGCTATAGACCCATTCTTTCACGATATTTACAGTTCAGCCCATTCTCTGACCATGCTTCAATATCTGATGCTTTAGGCACCCTTCAGTCAGATGACGCCCTAGGATTGTGTGTAACCGTTGAAACCTACCCGCATCATCTAACTGACGCTTTTCCTTTAGCGTCAGTTATATGACGCCGTAGGATCGCGTCATGTAAAGGGTGCCTAAAGCGTCGAATAGTGAAGCATGGTCAAAAGGTGACGCCTTGGGGTGAGAATGCGTTGCATAGTTCTAAAAATACATGCAGAAACTAGCTACAATCTTTTAGATGCCACAGACCCCCAAATCATTCTCATTTGACCCCAAACTTTTTACGACATACTCTTTTCAGACTCTTTTCATACATTTTTTCACATATGGAAGTAGGCACATTCGGAAGCACCGCACAGTGTATCTTTGAAATAGGGCTAGGAAGTGATTGTAATACATGCAGTTATCATCGAGCTACAGAGGGTTTTTGCATTGTCGATCAAAATACTTCATTTGGTTAAAGTAACAGTATGCAAAGTGTTTCCAGTTAAGTGTGCCATATGCATCAGACGTTCAGCCAGCGGTCCATGGCCATGCCTTTTTATTTTGTTGTTGCTTTTCATATTTTGTTATCACTTCGGTTACTTGTTTTGTAGTGTATAAAATGATGACAGCAGCAGCTCATTCTAAAAAATGACCATAACAACCACTGCTCACCACAACAGCACTGAAAACACCCTGCCTTTTTAAGATTTCCAGTACAATTATGTACAATACATAATTACAAATTATGCTCAACTTTAGAAGTGCATCATGCTCAGATTATGTCCACAAAGTGCAAGTGACTGTTCAGCTCCACCGGCACTTTTTACTTACATAGTTTGCTGTGACAGACAGTTATCTTGTTTGCATTGACTTCACTTAAAAATGTGAAAAAAGAAAATAAATTACTTTTAAATTTGGTACAGGTCTGTTTTACAAGATCCTCTTTGTGTATGGAATTTAACATCTGGACACCGGAGATGATTAACTATTAACATGTAAAGTGCTTTGAGTGCCGAGAAAAGCACTATATCAATGTAACGAATTATTATTTGACACGAGTGTATTAGTGTGTCATATTGTACACGAGTGGCAAGAAAGGAGACTGACGTAATTAAATAAGAATTAATCAAAAATAAACTGCAAAAAGCTGTAAATGAGTTATATCTGTTTGCTGGTACAGTAATGTGTTTGTAGTCATGGAAACATTGGTTTATAATTTAGTTTGACTATTGGTGTATCTGTGTTGGGTGTGTGTGTGTGTGTTTTGTGCGATCGGCAGCAACTCCCTGGGGTTGTTAGCAGCCACAGCTGTGTGTGTGTGTCTGTAAAAGGCCTATGTTTCTGTCAGTGAGCTTGTTCGGAGCACTTTTTCTGGCGTCTGATTGAGGATTTCCTCTAGATGATCGTTACCTCTGAACACACAGAAACACACACATACACACATATTGAGGAACGCCCCAAATGTTCCATCAATACACAGCAGACTCTCAAAGCCTCCACAGCTGGGAGATTTTCCCATGTGAAAACACAGTAAAAAAAATGCACTTGTGAGACATAATAAACACAATGAAAATACAGTGTATATTTTAGTGAAGTATAGGCTAACAACTGCAAACTCCGATATCAGATATTAAAGGCTTTAATACAGTACAAACAAAAAGAGATGCAACAGAGATTTTTCTTTTAATTGATTTTGAAATACATGATTACGGTTTTAGTTTTTGCTGATATCAGATGTTACGAGTCTTATTATTTTGGCATGGATACGTCACGCTGGACTCTCTCTCTGTCTTTGTGTGTGTGTGTGAGAGAGAGAGAGAGAGAGAGAGAGTGAGAGAGAGAGAGTGTGTGTGTATGAGTGTGTGAGCAGCCTCCCTCCACTGAGCTGTTGGGCGAGAGCTGCCTCCACTGACCCAGTTTTGTCATGGTCCTTATTAAAAATACTTTGATGATGCTTGATAGTGATGATGATGATGATGATGATGGCCTGTCTCCCTCTGCACCCCTCCTGCTGTGTGGGTGTCTTATTGTTTGATTGTTTTCTTTCGGAAGCATCACTAGCACGATACTGAAACTGACCCCTGCGCGGTTAATGTCTGGGAGGGTCACATCTTCTGTTCGACGGCATTCCGCGCTGATAGCTCTGGAGCGTTTACATTGTCCAACAATTCCCAACTCAGGGAATTCCGCTTCCAGACTCCTGAATGTCAATGTGTGAGAGAGAGAGACTGAGAATGTGAGTTAGTAAGTATGTGCATTAATGATACTTCCTCCTTCTTCCTTCTCAAAACTTGAGAGGTAAAATGGTGTAAATGTTTGAGTTTATCATTTTAACTTAGAAGCAATAGAAGCACACAGAAGAAAGAGAGAGAGAAAAAGAGAGAGAGAGAGGGAGATTTACATGTAAGTCCAAGTTTAAGTGTTTAGCATACCAAGTTTATTGAAATGGCAAAATATTTGGTCAATTATGTTATTCTATTTTTTTCAGTGACCTACTGCAATCACTACACTTTGCTGATAATGCCTCTAATTTACTTGCTATTTACATCTGGCTAGAGATAATTATCACAAAATATAATATCATGCATTACGGGGGCAGAAAAACTTTGTGAACCTTTTGACCATGCTTCAATATTTGACGCTTTTATTTGACGCTTTTAGCGTCAGTTACATGACGCGATCCTACGGCGTCATCTAAATGGCGCTAAAGGAAAGCGTCAGTTAATTAGATGACGCGGATAGGTTTAGGTCTGGGGTAGGGGTAGGGTTACACGCGATCCTAGGGCGTCATCTAACTGACGCTAAAGGGCGCCTAAAGCGTCAGATATTGAAGTATGGTCAAACGCTCAGTAAGGTGACGCCTTGGGGGTGAGTCTTCCATTGTGGTTAGTGGTGCAGCAGTTTAACAATGAGTCAATGGCATGCTCTTATTCCATTAAAAACAAACTTAGTCATCTGTTCAAACTTGGTTCAAGTGTATTTTTTAAAGTATACATTATGTAGTTAATTTCAATGGACTTGTGGTATGCTTAGTTGTAAGTGTGCTATTTTAAAACTACTAGGGACTGCATTGGCCCTTTTTTAAAATTGTACCACACTTTAGACTTTTTAGACTATTACACTTAAGTACACTTTA